ATCTGATCGGCACAGTGCGGCAGACATTTAAATTTAAATGAAGAAGCAATTACTTAAATCGCCACTTCATTTTCATATGCCAGGTAGCCTAATCTACATGCCTCTGTCTGCCCAGTTCCTTCAACCTTTCCTCCCAAGTTCCATTTTCCAAGCCTGTTGTAATACTAGATGCTTTTTTGGATTCTCTCCAATATGTTTGCCTTTTTCTTCAAAGCATGGTGCCCAAAACTGGACAGAATACTCCAACCAGGGCCTCACCAGTGCTGAATAGACCACAATTACCTCCTGGGTTTCACATTCAATAGGCCTGTTATTACATCCCAGAAAGGCATTTGCCTTTTTCACTGCAGCATCACATTGCTGTGCTCTTAAACAGAGCCATCTTTTCCTAGCATCTCCAGGTCCAATTTATATCTGTCCTAAAGGCTGCCATTACCCTGGGTTGGTGGCTGTTTTAGCCGGTGCTGAATACTGGCAGTGTTACTTACTTGGATTTCCTACAGTGTATTGCACACTGACTCGGCCTTGTTTCTCTAAATAGTGTAGGAAGTTAGAGGGAATGGCGGTGCTTCTTGTGAACAAGGTAGTGCTGTGGGGTCTAATCTAAATATCACTGTGGTCAATGAAAAGACTCCTATTGGCTTGGACCTTAAGGTTGGTGTTTGCAAAGGAGTCTAAAGGACTCCTCTTTTGAGAATCCCAGTTTAAACTGTTTTGAAGTTCATGTGCCCCAAGTGATGAATGTTGGTATAAAGTCGTAGATTTTACATTGACGACAGAGAGAGTGCAGGCTGAGCGTTCAGATTGTCTCCTCAGAGCGCTCTCTGAAGCTGGAGCTGTTGGGATTAGTGGTTTTGGGGTTCACACCCCTCATGACCTGATTCACTAGCTTTCCTGCTACTGCTCCAATCCTGTCTTTGAGTGAAAATTGAGAATGAGGTTTCAAGACTCACATGTGTCCTGGTTTAAAAAAAGTGTAAAAAAAATTGTCATCCTGTAACACCTTAGGGTATGTCTACACTACAGTGATACTTCAAATTATCTTATTTACACGTTTACAGACAAAATGCATTTCGAAATAGCGCGTCCACACTGATTGGACGCTGAATCACATTTAGGGCCAGCTGGAACTGGTTCCGGCTGGGCATCAGGTCAGAAGTTACCTTGCGGCCAGGGCAGCCAGCAGGGTACTCTGGGAAGGGCTGAAGGCCTTCTGTTTCGAAATAAGTGTCTACACAGCGCTTATTTTGAAATAGCAATTTCGAAATTGGTGCTATTCTTCGTTAAATGAGGTTTACCAATTTCGAAATAAGCCCTCCGCTATTTCAAATTAATTTCAGAAATAGCAGTTGGCTTGTGTAGACTCTAGGAAAGTTATTTCGAAATAACGGCTCTTATTTCGCAATAACTTTGCTGTGTAGACATACCCTTAGAGATGAACACTCTCTCTCTCTGTGTGTGTGTGTGTGTGTGTGTGTGTGGAGGTGGATGAGGGAGTGGTGCAAAAAGGCACAGAAACCCTAAATTTAAAGCAGAAAAGGGAGAGGCGGGAGAGGGAAAGGGAAAAAAAATCCTAATGAGGCTACTAGAGTGGGCTGTACACTGCACCATAGGTCGAAATAAGCTACGCGATTTGAGCCACACAAATTGCGTATCTTATTTCGATCGTATTTTGAAATAGCTTGTTTTGAAACCATGGGGCTGGAGCACACAAAATCTATCCGGGTCCCCTGAGGCTGTGGTGTGGGAGGGGAATGTGGAGTCTTTGTCTCCTTCTCAGTCGGGGGGCCATGTCATGTTTTTTGTTTTTTTCGGTTGCTCTCTTCTGTGCGGCCCCCAACTGATTTTTTTTGTGGGTCAGTGGCCCCCGACCCAAAAAAAGGCTCCTCACCCCTATATTGGGGTATTCAGAGCGGCCTTTCGTTGCCCAACATTGCCACCCTCTGCTCAGGACTGGAACAAGCTGAGGTGTGTTTGTTTAGGTCCCAGGAATGGGCAGAATTGTGGAGCCAGCTCAGGCCGGTGCAGGGATTGTTACTGCTCTGGGTCCTGGTGCGCCTGCCAAGTATGTGGTAGGGTTTGTTCGAAATGGTCAGAGGATCAAGGTCGCTCCTGCAAATTAGCGAGCTCCCTGCCTGATCGCGGCTGTCTGTTACAGCTGGAATGCACCGGTTGTGCTGCCGAACGCACTCGGCACAATACATTTGAGTGTTCAAGGGCCCGACCTTGAGAACATTTATTCCAATGAGTCCCACCGTTCACTTCCAAGAAGGCTCATGGGACGGATGGCTTGCAGGATGGGGGCCTACCATTGCACAGGTTTGGCCAGCTGCCCCACAGGTGTGGTGTGGAGCAGCTTGAGGGTCTGAGCTAGGACAGAGTCTGGTCTGGCTGCAAGAGGAGCTCCAATTAGATGAGTTGTTTTGGCTCTGGTGAGGCCACATCTGGGGTATTGTGTCCAGTTCTGGGTCCTCCACTACAAAAAGGATGTGGATGCATTGGAGAGGGTCCAGCGAAGGGCAACCAAAATGATTAGGAGGCTGGAGCATATGACCTATGAGGAGAGGCTAAGGGAGTTGGGTCTGTTTAGTCCGCAGAAGCGAAGAGGGAGGGGGGATTTGATAGCAGCCTTCAACTTCCTGAAGGGAGGTTCCAAAGAGGATGGAGAGAGGCTGTTCTCAGTGGTGACAGATGGCAGAACAAGGAGCAATGGTCTCAAGTTGTGGTGGAAGAGGTCCAGGTTGGATATTAGGAAAATCTATTTCACTAGGAGGGTGGTGAAGCATTGGAATGGGTTACCTAGGGAAGTAGTGGAGTCTCCATCCCTAGAGGTGTTTAAGTCTCGGCTTGACAAAGCCCTGGCTGGGTTCTGAGGTTTCTTCCAGCTCTATGGTTCTATGATTCTAACCAGGCAATGGCTCATGCCTTGTTCAGCATTCCCAGGTGCACAGTGTTAATTTTAACACAAGT